AGACGAGAGAGCTTTCTCCACAACTAGTTTTAACAAAAAAGTCTATTTTGGTTTTCAAGGTCAGCAAGTCAGATTGAATTTGCCAATTTTACTAAGCATTTATAGGGCAAAGATCTCAGTACTATAGTTTTGACAAAAGAAAGTCCATTTGGTTTTCAAGAGTCAGCAAGTCATATTGAATTTGCCAATTTTACTAAGCATCTATAGGCAAAGATCTCAGTGCTATAGTTCTGACAAAGAAAGTCCATTTGGTTTTCAAGAGTCAGCAAGTCAGATTGAATTTGCCAATTTTACTAAGCATATTTAGGCAAAAATCTCAGTGCTATATTCTCAGACACCCTTATTCAAAATAAGTGTGGTGTGACTGCACAAACTGACATAAAACAAATTGTTCCCCACAACCACGCTTTAAAAAGTGGCCGTTACGTAATGGTTTCAGTGGTTATCACCACCCCTTACAGTAGCTATAGCAGTGTGACATAAATTCACTACCGTAACCGCTACAACCGTTACGCTTCTATTTTTGATAGATTTGCATATATGGCTTATTTTTTTTTTATCATTTTTCCTTTTTCTAGTTGTTAAAATCACACAAAAAAACACAGAAATTATGAAAAAATTCTAAATTTATATTTTTTGAATATCAATCTTCAAATTCTTCAAGACTTGAGTTTGCTATTTAAATGAGCTTTGTTTACTTTTACGTTAGTATGTTGACATTTTGTATTATGACAGACTATTATTTTTAATATTAAACTTACTTTTTTCCCCCCTTTAACAAATGGAAGTTATCCATAAGTATAATTAGTAAAGTAAAGAAAAATAAAACATCTAATAATAGGAAAAAAATCGCCGCAACAACTTCAAACTAGTATAAAAATTAGTAAATATATTAGATTATATTTAAAAACTAAACAAAACACATCAAAAATTATTTTGAACCTCACTAAATATGATTATGAAATAATACGTGCATATTAGTATATTTTCCTAAAGTTGTGCAAAGAATTGACAAATTCACGGCTCCGGTTGCCACCATTGTTACACTACGACCGTTATACCCCGCAACCACACCAACGCTGTCATTACCATTACAGTAGCTGCAACAGTTATTTAAAACCTTGCCCACAACTAGTTATTCACATTCCAAATGGTTTTGATCGGTCAGCAGGTCAGTTTAAATTCTGCCACTTCTATCAGCTTAGTAAGAAGGTAACAACAATATGTATATAAAAGCTCAGCATACCGTTATTAACACCATACAAGTAACCAATACTGATCAGCTGAACATACCTAAAACACACATTTCTCCAAAAAGACACAGCCCACTTGGTTTCAATAGATCAGCAAATCAGGTTGAATTATGCCACTTCTACAAAACTAAAAAAGCAGAGCTTCATATAACAACATATATTATATACAAAGCTAAGCAAACCCTTACTCAACAACAGACCAAGTATCCAACATTGATAACACAAAGTATAACGTCTATAACACCTGAACCATAGCAGAATTACTGATACAGAAAAAAAAAACACATCACCAGCATTATTCAAAGACAAGTGAAAATCAAATCAAACATACCTCCATTTTCACATCAACCCACCCAACTAAATCTCCTTCTGAATAGCAGCATTGGCAGTATCAATATCCTCATCCATCAAAAGATCCCAATGTCCATCCCACTTGATGAAAAACTCAGTATCCTCAAATACTTCACTCGATGCACATCCCAGCGGCGTAAACAAGAAATCACCAACACCCAGTCATAATTCTCCTTCTTGCTCAAATTCCACACCCTCTTGCTACCCTTCAGCACCACCAAATCATGCCCAAACGTGTGGTGATGAGCCGGCTCTACACTCCCAGCCTTGAACCTCACAATCGCCGAGGTAGGTGTCTCTCTGAGTATCTTCATCGACCCACCAGGCATTACCTCAATCGGAGTGAACTCTCGGGTCTTAGTCAGGCAACAGATTGCACAGGTGTCTGATTCGGTTGTTGGGAAATTGGGTCCGATTTTTGACATTCGGGGGATTGAGTTGTCGAGAAAGGAATCGATTTCAGGGGGCCAGGGTTTGGGATCGGAGGCAGGCATGGAGATCTGAAGGGGGTGTTGAGCCAGGTGTCGAGGATTTCAATGGCGGATTCGGGGGAGGTGGACATGCCGGAGACGGCAAGGACGTTGCAGTTGTTGATGGAGCGGGTGTTCTCGGCGTCGCCGCGGTGGGCAGGTGGCGGCGTAGACGCCGGGGATTTGTTGGCGAAGATGGAGACGCGACGCCGGTGCCGCAGGCGACGAGCCGCCGTGTCTCGGTGGTGGTGATGGAGGCGGCGGAGACGCGGCGGCCGATTTCTTCGCCGACAGAGTAGTATTTGTCGGTGGGGAGATCTTCGACGTCGTGCTGAGAGAGCGGAGGGTGGGAAACGAGGGCGTCCTTGAGGGTGCAGCCGAAGGAGTCTGCTCCGGCTATGATTTTGAGGGGCGGCAGTTGTTGTTGTCAGCCATGGAGATATGGATTGGTGTCGGCGACGGTGGTGGCAGTGGCAGTGGCAGT